GACCACACATTACGGATTATCAACGATAACTATTATTATACCCAAAGCATAACAAGTCATTTCAGTTATTAAAATACATGTTTACTGAATCAAGAGATTATTTATGATGGTTGTAATAACAGTAATAAAGTCAAGAGTTTATTAAAATTATTATTTAATATTATTATTGTGAAACTAGAAGTGTCCTTCATCTTGGGACGGAACAGCAGCAGATAAAGATGGTTTCAGCAGACATCACGGCTCCTGGCGTGGTTAATCTGTGGGGCAAAGCTACAGAACGACCCAGCTTGACCCTGCTGGGAAAATGTGTCCTTTGTCACAAATTAGAGGCCATTCATGACGCTACAACAGGAAATTTAGAAAGAGAAACAGGGTTAAGGTTAGGATGGAGGCGAGGGGAAGGTTAAATCGCTAGAGGTTAGAGGTTAGATGTCTTTGAAATGTCCGTTTTACCACGGGCGTCGGAAAGCGATGCTCTGACACAGCGCGTCGCCTCCCAGCGCGTCGGAAACAAACGCTCGGTCACCCGTCGTCAGTTTCGGCCGCTTCGGGTGTGAGAATGTGTTTTTTAGGCAGAATGCTCAGAACTCTATGATGTCACAGAGGCCGCAGCAGAAATTGTCATGTGCCGGGGTGAGTGCTCCTCTCATTTTTGTTCCATCTTTGAGCTGCTGTGTTTCAGGAGAGGGAGGCTCCAGCTGCAGCTCATTAACTATCAGCGGGTCCAGCTATAAGAGGAGGAGGAGAACACATCTCAATGCCGGATGATTAACTTGGTAGTTCCAGCCCTTTGTGTCTCCAGGTTAACTCTATTTATTTTTGGATTTTAGAACCCTTGTAGATATACTTGTGCTTACCGGTTCCCAGGATTTTTGGATCGTTTTGTGGGCCTTACCTTGACTCCTCAGGATCTCCTTGGACTTCTGAAGCTTCTGGAGCTTCTCTGGTTTTCCTGTGGCTCCTCTGATTGACTAGTTGGGCATCTCCATGATCCCGCTGGATTACTTACCTGTGCCCCATAAATCTCCTGGATGCAGCATTCACCGTTCTCCTCTCCTCCCTGCCGGCCCGCTCTCCTCGCGCCCGCTCTCCTGGACACCCCCTCTTGGATTCACCCCGGTGTCGGTACAAGATGTGCTCGGGTGCAAGATCGGCTAGGGGTACTTCGACTGCCGATGACGTCAAAGTAGGTGATTGGCTGAACATGAACCTTACGGAAATTACGTAATCACGTTACGTTGTTATCACGTTACGTTGGTCCAGGAAAATTTTTCTGTTGGAAAGATGGACAACTTTTACAAAGAAATCCATCATTACCTCTTTGAAAATACACTTTTAGCATAGAGCTGCATGTATATTAGGGCTGAATGATTAATTGCATGTGCAATTAAATTGCAATGTGACAAAAGGAGATTTTCTAATCGCAAAGGCTGCAATTTGGCAGCGAGTGGTTAGCGCAATGCTAATATACATGGAAAAGCCCATAGGAATGCTAATGCTAATATCACCGATTACATTATTACAAATTATGAATTAGAAAAGTGCCAAATGATTACATTTGGAGTTTAACAGAAAGTAAAACTACCATCAATCAAATAAGTACAGACAGGTATTTTAGTAAAGCCAGAAAACTTTTAACTCCAGAGTTTTGGCTAGCAGCTATGAGCGTACCTGAACTACGCATGGACAAGACATCAAAAACTCTAAACACAAAATACTTCAATAAACGGGATACACTTCTTTCCGTCAAATTCAATTTCACAGGTGTTGCTAATACCTATGATCCTTCAAGGGATGTGCTCAAAGAGGAGTTCAACATTATGAATACAATATAGTGTTTTATTTTACAAATACCATTAAAAACACACTTACGTCGTGAGAAACATTATAATAATAACGAATCTGCTAAATTCTTTCCAACAGTATAAAGATGTGTAGTGTATTTTGTCCGAGTGGGTTTGCCGTACTTTGACATTATCGGCAGTCGAAGGACCCCGAGCCGATCTTGCACCCAAGCAGATCCTGTACCGACACCGGCACTCCACCTACCCTCCCCAATTCCTCAGCCCCCAGCTTCCAGTAAGTCTTAACTCTGCACCTTCCTAGTTCAGACTTACCTCCCTGGATTCACCTGTTCCTCTGCTCTCCCCTCCTCAGACGCTGCGGTTCCGTTGCAATCCCCATTCGACCTTATCCAGTGCACCCTCGGTTCCCGATTTTTTTAAAGTTAAATTCTTTAATTTTTCTAATTGACTCGTGAGTGGTGAATTCTACATGTCTTGGGTTAAACTCGTCTCCAAAACCATGTCAGAATCATGTCGTTGTGAGTCTGTGTATTTCTTAGCAGCTCTGCCCTCAGTCTGCCAGGCAACAGCATTTGTTGCATTTTTCTAACAGGAAGTGGGAGCGGAGAACGACTGGTTGGGGGTGACTTGCTCTTTAATATGTCTCTCTGCATCTTAAATTTATTTTGCTTATAAAACAATTAGTTTAATATCTGGGTGACCAACCAAGAAAGGATTATGATTTGGTCGGTTGATGTCACACAATGGTTCTCAATCCAGGGGGGCATTTCTCTAAACGAGCTCAGAACATCAGGGCTATCCTGACGAATCCCTGATTGACAAATCAGGCTGCATGCTTTCCTAGCATCTCGACGGTTGGGTCTGCAGGATGGTTTTTTTTTTTCTAATCTTCAGGGAATGTCAAAGTTCTACAGAAAGTACTCAAGCGTTGTCAGAAATGTCACAAAATCTGTCAGTAGATGTTGTTTGGAATAAACGGGAAAAATAGAACCCGATCTTATCTTTAGCAGCGCGGCATCACGCCTCTGAAAATTGTCGCGCCATGGCTGGTTTGAATATAATGGAGTATATTTGCAGCGGTGCCGTTCTGCACTGCTTTTGCTTTCAGTGTGCAGCAGGACTCAGTCTGGAAGGTAATGAAAATGTCGAGAATAAGACTGCTGAAATGTATTTTTGTGACCGTGATTTTGTGCAAAGAACTTCATAAATATGTGATGAAATACGTCTCCACCCATATACTATATGTGACAGTGTGAGCATCCTGTCACAGTGTCCCGATTGATCATGCGCCCTGGCGTCTTGGCCAATGGGATGGACCTTTGGCTGACTGGTTAGAGTGTATGACTTTCACCCAGGAGTCTGGGGATCGAATCCCGCCCTGGCCCTCGCTGCTCCACCTTGCCACATATACATCAATGCTTGTCCAATACTTTAAGTTTCAGAGGAAGTCGTTCATTCAGTCAGAAAGGCAAACGTAGGACAGAGACAAGGCAAGGAGCGTAATTACACAACCATAAACAATCCTGCATTTCTACAAAACAAAGTGTGTTGTCTTGCTGTTAAAGAACAAACGTCTGATGCCCTGATTTTAGTTTGTTTCTAAGAAAAATAAAGGCACATGGTGATTGATCCGGTTACTCAGGACAACCAACATTTTCTTTTTTATGTGGTGAGAAATGTATAAAACTAGAAAATCCAGTGATTATTATGCAAGGTAACACAGAACTGATGATAAAGAGTAAAATGGCAGAAAATTCAGATTTTATTCCTACAAATCTGTGACTAAAATGAGGCACCCCTGCTTCTTACAGCTGTTGTGTTGGTGTTACAGCGCCCCCTGTAGGAGAAAGGTGGAGTTTACAGCACCTGCAGGTGGTTTGAGATGGACGGATACAGCACCACTCTTACTCCACTGACATCACAATGTAACAAAAATGTCAGGAAATAAAGTCCTGGTGCGTTCATTTTTTATTAAAATAATTTATAAATTTATTGTTACATCAAAACACAGTCATGTTTTTCCTGTTTAAAACACACATGTTGATAAAAATGTAAATGACTCTGTGTGTGTGTGTGTGTGTGTGTGTGTGTGTGTGTGTGTGTGTGTGTGTGTGTGTGTGTGTGTGTGTGTGTGTGTTTCATTGCTGTGGAGTTGTACTTATCAAATTATGCCACTGTAACTCAACACCAACCTGTGCTGCACATGCATACTGCACCCTAGTGGAGGATCTACAGATCTGTAAATGAGATTTTTATACACTCACCTAAAGGATTATTAGGAACACCTGTTCAACTTCTCCTTAATGCAATTATCTAATCAACCAATCACAAGGCAGTTGCTTCAGTGCATTTAGGGATGTGGTCCTGGTCAAGACCATCTCCTGAACTCCAAACTGAAGGTCAGAACAGGAAAGAAAGGTGATTTAAGCTATTTTGAGCGTGGCGTGGTTGTTGGTGCCAGACGGGCCAGTCTGAGTATTTCACAATCTGCTCAGTTACTGGGATTTTCACCCACAACCATTTCTAGGGTTTACAAAGAATGGTGTGAAAAGGGAAAAACATCCAGTATGCGGCAGTCCTGTGGGCGAAAATGCCTTGTTGATGCTAGAGGTCAGAGGAGAATGCGCCGACTGATTCAAGCTGATAGAAGAGCCTAACCCTCGTTACCACCGAGGAATGCAGCAAAGCATCTGTGAAGCCACAACATGCACAACCTTGAGGTGGTTGGGCTACAACAGCAGAAGACCCCACCGGGTACCACTCATCTCCACTACAATTAGGAAAAAGAGGCCACAGTTTGCACCAGCTCATCAAAACTGGACAGTTGAAGACTGGAAAAATGTTGCCTGGTCTGAGGAGTCTCGATTTCATTTGAGACATTCAAATGGTGGAGTCAGAATTTGGCGTAAACAGAATGAAAACATGGATCCATCGTGCCTTTTTACCACTGTGCAGGCTGGTGGTGGTGGTGTCATGGTGTGGGGGACGTTTACTTGACACACTTTAGGCCCCTTAGTGCCAACTGGGCACCTGAGCATTGTTTCTGACCATGTCTATCCCTTCATGACCACCATGTACCCATCCTCTGATGGCTACTTCCAGCAGGATAATGCACCATGTCATGAAGCTCCAATCATTTCTAACTGGTTTCTTGAACATGACGATGAGTTCACTGTACTACAACGGCCTCCACAGTTACCAGATCTCAACCCGATAGAGCATCTTTGGGATGTGGTGGAACGGGAGCTTCGTGCCCTGGATGTGCGTCCCACACATCTCCCAACTGGAAGATGCTATCCTGTCAATATGGCCGACATTTCTAAAGAATGCTTTCAGCACCTTGTTGGATCAATGCCACGTAGAATTAAGGCAGTTCTGAAGGTGAAAGTGGGTCAAACACCGTATTAGTGTGGTGTTCCTAATAATCCTTTAGGTGAGTGTGTATTTATTCAAATAAAGGTCTTAAATAAAATACTTTATCTTCTTCTCTAAAGTTAATTACCGTAATTTCCAGACTATAGAGAGCACCTCAATATAAGCCCCACCGGGCTAAAAGCCGCTGATCTCTACTGAATTGAAAACGTAGTTTAACTGAACGTAACTGAACCGATCAATATGAAACAAAACAGAAAAGTTATCGATTAGTTTATTCATCTTCCTCTTGTGCACTGAAACCATTAAAGTCCTCTTCTTCAGTGTCGGAGTTGAACAGCCTCAGAAGAGCTTCATCACATATTTCTGTGGCGATGTCGGTGTCGCTGTCCGTGTTGCTGTCATCATCCCCGGGTAAAGATGGCTTGAATGAGTTCTTCCTGCTGCCGTCTCCAGCACCGAACCATGGATTCATTCATGCCAAGCTTACGTGCGGCAGCACTGTTTCCCTCCTTTACTGCCAGATCGATGGCCTTCAACTTAAATGCGGCATCATATGAACTCATACGTGTAGTTACCATGATGAGGGGGTATGGATTTGAAAAAGATTCTTCGTCGTGCCTGCTGCTTGAATGTGCTAAATTAAAATGAGCGCTTTCTTCGATTTCCACTTTTGACTTCCACCTGTTTCACTTCCTGCTAAAGCGCCCCCTGTTGGCAGGTGAAGGAAAACCTTCAGTAAAGCCACACCTCATTATAACCCACGTGGTTCAAAGCGTGGGGAAAAAAAGTAGCGGCTTGTAGTCCAGAAAATACGGTAAACTTTTTCTCCCGTCATCAGGTCACCCTAAAACTAGAGCTTTTATCACTCATGGAGGTGCAAACGGGGTTTATGAGACCATCTATCACGGCGTTCCCATGGTGGGAATTCCAGTTTTTGCTGACCAGCCAGACAACATGCTGCACATGAAAGCCAAAGGAGATGCAATTGTTGTGGAATTAAACTCACTGACATCTGAAGACCTCAGAGATGCGCCGTCATCGATGACACAACGTCAGATTTTTTAAATTCCTGCACCAAGTCTGTTTTAAAGATTTAAAAAAAAATTGTTTCGTTTTTGGTGATGAGTCAGCATTAACTTTATTACCAGAATAAATATTTCCCTTCAATTTCCTGTTTTCGTGGTAAATTTTTACTGTATGGCCCGAAAGAGTAACCTAGCTTAAATGTACAAAACTACAAATGTGCCTTTCATTATTCCCAGTTTGTGAGATAAAAGTTAATCTCTGACAATACATTATGAATAACTCTTTATGTTAACTTGTTTATCCACAGCTACAAAGAAAGTGCCATGAGACTGTCCAGAATCCACCACGACAGACCCATGAGTCCTCTGGACGAGGCGGTTTTCTGGATCGAGTTCACCATGAGGCACAAAGGAGCAAAGCACCTGAGGGTCCAGGCCCACGAGCTCACCTGGTAGCAGTATCACAGCCTGCATGTCCTGAGCTTCCTGCTCTCTGTGGTTCTGCTGCTCCTGTTCCTCCTCGACAAGACCTGCAGGTTCTGTTTCCGGAGGTGCTGCTGCAGAAGGAAGACCAAGAGGAAGGCTGAATAACAAACTCAGCTCAGGTTTATTCAAGTTAAATATTGAATAGAAAGGCTGATTTAATATAGATTTTAATCGGTCTTTTGACCACTGACCTCTTGTGTAAAAATAGGGAAGTAAGAAACTGTTTAAAAAAAGGCAAAAACAAAAGTGTTTTGATGTATTTTTTATCTTCTGTGTGATCAAATAGGGTTTTGGGTTTTTATTATTACAAAAAAGGAAAAGGAAAAACATCAGTGTCCAATGTTTTCACTTCTGAATAAATGGTTTGTACTTCACAATTTTTTGTTAAATTCTGACCATTTAGTTTTTGCTCAAGTTTGTGTAACTTCTGTCAAAATGTTTAGAAAAAATATCAAACAGCCGGGATTAAACCCGCAACCTTCTGATTACTGAACGACCCGCTCTCCCTCGGGAGCGACTGCTGTCCAAATGACTAGTTATAAATGACCTGCACTTGTGAAGGGTTTTCAGGTCGGTGTGTGGAGGGAATTTGGGGTCAAATGTCATGCTGCACCTGAGAAGTGATATTAGTGGATTTATTTATGGTTTTATTAGTAATGTTCATGACTGCGGCTACAGCAGGACAATGTTTCATTTAAATGTTGTTCGGAGGGACCGGCGTCGCCTGCGTATGGCAGACTCGCCTCTGTCAGGACGCCCCAGGGCAGCTGTGGCTACAGTGTAGCTCATCACCACCGGGGTTGTGAATGGGTGAATGTGTTGTAAAGCGCCTTGGGGGGTTCCAGGACTCTAGAAGGCGCTATACCAAATACAGACTATTTACCATAAATGAACAATAAAGTTTTATCTCAGCTTGTTGATTATTGTGTAACAGAGATCTCACAACCACAAATTACTGTTTCACCAAAATAAATACCAACAAATCTAATATTTTATTTTTATATTAAAAAAAAAAAAAGAAAACTGCAGAAAGTCCTAAAAAGAGAGTTAAAGTTAAACGTGACGTTTGGGAATCATTCCAGAATTCAAACAGTACAGAGTATGAAACACTGCTATCCAGAAATAAGCCTGAACAAGTACAACACATTTAGTTCTAGGTTTTATTTCCCATAAACCTGCAGGGATAGAAACACAAATAAGTGAAAGAAAATCAAAAGGATATGCACTCTGAGTTCAAACATTAATGTTTTGTACTTTAGTACTGAAACGAGTCAGAGTTCACAGTTAATAAGTATCCGTACGGCACATCCAGTATAAAGTTCACAGCTGGATTTCCCACAGACAGACAGACGTCCACCATGGAGCTGCGCGTGCGTCTCTGCCTGCATCCTGCTGCTACTTCCTGTAACATCTGGAGTAGATGGAGGGAAGATTTTGGTTTGGTACACCGAGGCCAGCCACTGGATTAACAGGAAGCTGCTGCTGGAGACGCTGGTGGACAGAGGACACCAGGTGACCGTCACATCCATGTTCATCAACAGCAGTGAACCCTCCCGCTTTAATTACCAGCCTTTTGATGTCTCCGTCTCTAAAGAAGATTTTGAGAATTTATTGGCTGAATTCATTCAATTCAACATGCATGACATGGACCACATGAACTACTTTCAGCTTTACATCAAATACATGGAATTGTTCAAGATCAACACTGAGATTTCCCTCCAGTTTTTGGACGGTGGTGAAATCAGAGCCCATCGTGAAGAAGCTGAGGAAGGGAAACTATGACGTTCTCCTGGCTGATCCCATCTATTCTGGAAGCAATTTAACTGCTGAGATCTTGGGCATCCCTCTAGTCTTTTCTTTGAGATTTTCGATAGCAAACAACTGGGAGAGACTGTGTGCTCAGCTACCTGCTCCACCTTCCTACGTTCCAGGTGCGGTCAGCAGACTGACAGACAAGATGAACTTCTCAGAGAGAACGTGGAACTTCCTCTTCTACGTCCTGCAGGACTTAGTTCTGGATCAGTGTGTGTGGAAGAAGGTGAGTATTGCTGACTAGAAAATTACGTAATGGATTTCATCCAGTCATCACGAACATGTTTGTTTTCTCAGGAACACCCACCAGTGCCTGTAAGATGGTGGGTAATGCTGACATCTGGTTGTTGAGAACCTGCTGGGATTTTGACTTTCCCCGTCCATTACTTCCCAACTTCAAATTTGTTGGAGGGATTCACTGCAAACCTGCTAAACCATTACCAAAGGTGCTCTTTCCATAACTGTACACCAAAAAAATCATAGTTAACCCTCTCAGGCTCAAAACAAGTTTTGATAAAAGGGCAAACAACTAAATCCTTCTTCTGAGTGTAAAAATGCTCATGAAATACGTACGTGGAGTATCCAGGTAGGTAGGTTTTAACGTTGCACATCAGCAACGCCTACTTCCAGAGGGTTAAATCCTAATGTAAAGAATAAGATCTGAAAAAAAAAAGATCTACAAAACAGACATCTTATTAGCTGTTTTATTATGGGATTAGATTTGTGCCAATAGGATCAAGAAAAACACTTTGGAGAGCAAACAAATTTTAAGACACTGAGAGAAAAAACCTTGGTTTCAAAAGAAAAACTTACGATCTGAATCAGATTCTTAAAATGATCAAGAAAATCACTGTGACGGTCAAACAAAAATTAAGAAATTGACAGAACAAAAATATTGACTAAAGTAAAAAAACATGTTTCAAAAGTAAAACTTACTATCTGAATAAACTTCTTAAAATGAGTAACAAAGTATGTTTCCTTTTTCTGTAATTGCCTCTATGTGTTTTTGTTATCAATTTCCTTAGTTTTGTTCTCTCTGCTCAGAGCTTTGCTCTCACTTCCAGATTTGCACTTACACTGTCTGGCTTTCTCCTGTGCAATCCCTGAGTTTTTGGTTGCAATTCTGACACAACCCTTTCGGGTGGGCGGGACTTCTGAGAAGTCCTCTCCCATAGGACAGTGGTTTCTCTTGAGTGATAGTTCAGTGACCTGGAAGTGATGTAGCCTCCAAGACATTTTTTTTCCCCCACCTGGTCAACACCATGAATTTTGAGCCCCAAACAGGTTATTTCTGCTGTCTGTGGTGTCTACTGAGGATCTAAAGTGAGTATTGATAATATATTTTATCTTTTCTTAGTTCATCTGTAAGTTAAGCCACTTTTTAAGTTGGTTTTAACCAGATGCTAGCTCACTAGCTAGCTGCTAAGCAAGCCATTGTGCTAGCCTCAGGACAATGGACTATTGTTCCAGAGAGACGTATTAAAAACTCATCTTAACATATTCATTACTGGTTTCATGGAATTAATTATTGCAGTTTATGTTAATAAGTTTGCTAATTTTTCAGGAACCTGTGGAACATCAGAGACTTTGCAGCTACTGGAGCTAACCTTTGTACTGCTATTGCTACAGAGGAAGCAGCAGAAAGCTGAGCTAACAGGCTGTTTTGCAGGTAAATACTCTTTTAGTGGAACTGCAGGATTTTTATGGTATAACTCAGACAGAATCTACATGAGCTATTGTGGGAAGACATTTAAACTACATTTACATACAGATACATGTATTTTTTTATTCCATGTTACTTGGACGGGCTAAACAAGTTCATAGTTCTGCCTGCTCCTTTTTCAGTGAAACGAATGGATTTTATGATGTAACTCTGACTGAATAATTATCTAAGTGAGTATGTTTGATAATACATTTCTTTCCAGTATACAGATCTGACATTTGTTTGTCAGAACAGGACAAATCAGATTCAATGTGCTTTCTGTCACGTGCTCTGTATTCTCCATGAAAAGAATGTTATCCAGGACAGATAATCAATAATGAGTTAAATACATGCTTTTAATAAATTTTTACATAAAATCTATATTTTTGTCTAAAAGCTATTTTTTATTTATTTATTCTTTCTTTTCAGATTGAAAACTGCTGCATTGCATTACAATGGAAGTGCTAAACAGCCACATGCATCAACTGCAGCTGGTGAGCTAAGACACACCATAGTGTACACAAAGTACACTGCAGACAAGGGATGTAAGAAAATATCAATATGACAATATATCGCGATGTATTTTCCCAGTAATATTGTATCGATATTCTCGAACTCTGTCTCTAAAATATCGATATGGCAATATATCGTGATATTTTTTCCTGAGATATTACATCCATTTTCAAAAGCAGTGTATCTAATTTTTGGAAGAATTTACATGCAAACATTTGTGTATTTTCTTTGTTTTTGGTGCATTTTAAATGTGGCCCGCTAGTTGGCAGCAGTGTGCATTGGGTTTTGTTTCCACCATTGAAATTTAAATCTCGCTATTATGGTTCAGAAACTCATGTTATATATGTTAAGTATCAGTTTGGACTGTTTATTGAATATTCCAACAATAAATTCTGTCAAAAATACACATCCCTACTGCAGACCAATCCCACCTCATGTAGTTCATATGCTGTATAATAAACCCACAGTGATGGTTATGGATAAATATCTGTACTAATGGTAATCTTTTTCCATTGTTTCCAGTTGACAAGCATATGGACCTATTGTTCGAGTCCGTGGTGGTGGATGCTCTATCATATCAGGAGTCGGTGGTGGTGGATGCTCTACCATATCAGGAGTCTGACTAAGTACCTGTGCCTGAACCTCTCTGTGTCTAGTTCAAAAGACCTGAAAGACCTGCTGTAAGCAGGCACAGGATAATATTTTAAAAGAACCTGTAAGGTGAGCAACACAACACAATATAAATCTTTATTATTATTGTACGCTGTACAGTTAGAATAAACTTGCATGCTCAGAAGCCACGTATGATTACATCGCCTACAGGTTGCCTGATGCTGAACTTCGGGCAGCTGCGTGCTCCGTGGAACAACCGCCTGTGGGAGGAGTCGTTGTGTTGCTGTTAGGAGTTTGGGTCGGAGTCCTGGGTTTGTGTTCCCTTTAATCTCTTCATTAGCCTTGCTAGTCACCATTGCAGAGCACCATGGAGAGGCTTACCTGAAAACTCTTCTCATGGGGCAGGCACATCCTCACACACCTGTAACCCCATCCTTGAATAAAAGCTGGTAGCTGGTCACTCATCAGAGTGTTTTAACCCATATCTAGCCCATGACTCTGCCGTTTTTCAAACTTACGTTCTCATGTTCTATGCAGATCTATGGGAATTCTTTCCTTGAAGCTCCTGATCACACAACCATACTGGCAGTCGGCTTACCCACTACCTTCTGCTCACCCGCTTGCTACTCATGCTGTCATTCTCCCAGACTTCTGGTTGTTTCGCCACCATTCTGCTGTCTCCCGTCTGCGCTACAATTTTAGACCGTAAGTACCTAAACTTTTCCTTTTGTAAGTCATTCTTTAGTCATTACTAACACTCAATTTTACCTCAGGGCCTTCTGATCTTTAAACACTAAAACCTGTGGCTCCATCTCTGTGGTGTTTCTCAGACTCTGTAAGCTACCTGCACAGTCTAAGAAAACCCTGACCTGTTGCCTCTTACTAACCTCTGCTCTTCCTCGCAGAAGCTTCTGGTTCCTGATCTCCAGCTGTTACCTCTTCAGTCATCCGTCAAACATTTTAATAAACTGTTTTTAGCTCATTTGTCTCCTGAGTTTCTCTGCATGAAGGTCAGGTTGTTGCAAAAATCATGACATCAGCAATTACTTTGCACCACTCTGTTAAACAGCTGATATTAATTTCAAGTGTATCTTTAAAAATACATTGAATGTCAAAGTGAATGAAAGGCATCCATTCAGCTTTCGGTGTCTAATGCAGGATTTTATGGACAGGCACCAAAACAGGAAATTTATAAATTGAGATTTATTTACTAAATCAGGTAAACCATAATAAAATACTAATGTTTAAAGTCCGGAGGAGGGAGGAAGGCTTTATAGCAGGGGTATTCAATTCTAGTCCTGGATGGCTGGTATCCAGCACGTTTTAGTTGTTTCCCTGCTCCAACACACTTGAATCAGTGGTTGAATTACCTGTGCAGCAGCTCTGCAGAAGCCTGTTAATTATCTGCTGACTGAAATCAGGTGTATTGAAACAGAGTTAAAACTAAAACGTGCTGGATACCGGCCCTCCAGGCCCAGAAGTAAATACTCCTGCTTTATAGGCACAGAGAACTCCCATCAGGATCCTGGAGACGGCACAAAGAGATGACGACATGAGTGTGCCCTCCCAGATCACACCAACACCACCTGACCACATGGAGAAATGTGTCTGTAAGAAAGAAAAACTGGTGATGTAAGAGATTAAACAAAAACTACGAACAAAATCAATTTTACAGTTGTTTAACCTGCTGAGCATCGTCTCCCCAAAGAGCTGCACAAAGGTGCAACTGGCTCAGAACCAGGGTGCTCCGTTATGCAGGTGGTCACCTCCTCCTGCTGACACCCGAGGATTACCTACAACAAAGGGAAAACTGATATCAATAAGGAAATAATTAAATCAGAGCTAAAAGTTTAATTTTAGTGTGACGTTTGAGATTGTGGGAAATAAATGTGGACATTATGATTTTCTATTGTGGGATCAGTACCTTGGGCGTTTCTCTGTAGCAACATTTTGTCTGGCTGACAATGAAGTAAAAAAGTCACCAGTTGAGGCAGAGTTAGACTACATTACTCCAGCTAAGCTAAATGTAGCTAAAATAGACACTAGTCACCAGACTATGGTTACTATAGATTTACTAGAGAGTTACATCATATAATCCATTCGTTTCACTGAAAAAGGAGCAGGCAGAACTATGAACTTGTTTAGCCCGTCCAAGTAACATGGAATAAAAAATACATGTATCTGTATGTAAATGTAGTTTAAAAGTCTTCCCACAATAGCTCATGTAAATTCTGAGTTATACCATAAAAGTCCTGCAGTTCCACTAAAAGAGTATTTACCTGCAAAACAGCCTGTTAGCTCAGCTTTCTGCTGCTTCCTCTGTAGCAAGTTAGCAGTACACAGGTTAGCTCTAATAGCTGCAAAGTCTCTGATGTTCCACAGGTTCCTGAAAAATTTGCAAACTTATTAACATAAACCGCAATAATTTATTCCATGAAACCAGTAATGAATATGTTAAGATGAGTTTTTAATACGTCTCTCTGGAACAATAGTCCATTGTCCTGAGGCTAGCACAATGGCTTGCTTAGCAGCTAGCTAGTGAGCTAGCGTCTGGTTAAAACCAACTTAAAAAGTGGCTTAACTTACAGATGAACTAAGAAAAGATAAAATATATTATCAATACTCACTTTAGATCCTCAGTAGACACCACAGACAGCAGAAATAACCTGTTTGGGGCTCAAAATTCATGTTGTTGACCAGGTGGAAAAAAATGTCTTGGAGGCTACATCACTTCCAGGTCACTGAACTGTCACTCAAGAGAAACCACTGTCCTATGGGAGAGGACTTCTCAGAAGTCCCGCCCACCCGAAAGGGTTGTGTCAGAATTGCAACCAAAAACTCAGGGATTGCAAAGGAGAAAGCCAGACAGTGTAAGTGCAAATCTGGAAGTGAGAGCAAAGCTCTGAGCAGAGAGAACAAAACTAAGGAAATTGATAACAAAAACACATAGAGGCAAACAGAAAAAGGAAACATACTTTGTTACTCATTTTAAGAAGTTGATTCAGATAGTAAGTTTTACTTTTGAAACATGTTTTTTTCCTTTAGTCAATATTTTTGTTCTGTCAATTTCTTAATTTTTGTTTGACCGTCAAAGTGTTTTTCTTGATCATTTTAAGAATCTGATTCAGATCGTAAGTTTTTCTTTTGAAACCAAGGTTTTTTCTCTCAATGTCTTAAAATTTGTTTGCTCTCCAAAGTGTTTTTCTTGATCCTATTGGCACAAATCTAATCCCATATTTTATTGAATAAAAAAGCAGATTTTGATTTAAAAAAATACAATTTTCTGCTTTAAAGAATTATAAATCTCTGTTCCTGCAGTATTTCGAAAAGTTTGTCCAAAGCTCTGGAGATGATGGCATCGTGGTCTTTTCTTTGGGATATTCTCAAGAATCTGACCATACAAGGCAAACATGATCGCCTCTGCTCTCGCTCAAGTCCCACAAAAGGTCAGAAACGGGGGAATCTACAGGGGGGCTCTGCTGTAGAGCCTTGCCCCCGTGGGTTAATTAGATTTTTTGGGTTGCGCCACTTTGACAATGTGCCGTGCGCAGGACGCAGTTGCCTGGAGCGCATCAAAGATCAGCGCTGTTCCTCCTCTCTGCTCAAGAATGCCCCAAGAGTTCAAACAGATACACAGCCCTGGGCGTGGACGTTGAGGGCTTCGTAATTCTAGCTCTGCTCGACATTTTCTTCAACGTGACACAGCCCCCCCCCCCCCCCCCCCCCCCGTTTCTCATTTACGTTGTTTTTGACAAAAACAGCTCTGCTGCTCCAAAATGATGCATTTTAAACATTGGTGTTGTGTTATTGTAATACGTTATAATTGAGATGAATAATAAAATATGACAAAAAATTCAAAATGTGGGACAAAAGGACTTATAAGCCAACATTTAGAGAAAAAGAGACATTTTTCACATTTTCTGAAAGAAATACGTTGGTTCAGGTTAAAGTTCATTTTTATTACATATAAAGTTAAAGAAAGGGGCGTTCAGGTGCTGCTGTTGATGTTAACACTGGAGCGTCGATGGTCCAGACTGAGATAAATGCGTTAAAGTTAGGCTCCGCCCATTTGGGTTACTATGACCACCAGTGCCTACTACTGCTCCTTCTTTCACCCCACCCACGTGATCCTTTGAAGTGACGTCATAAAGGCTCAGAGTCCTATTATCTAGCATCAGCCGGCTCCCACTTCATTAGCAGCCGACTGCTGGTGTGCGACACATCGACTCTCTGAGACAATCGTCTTTTACAACCTCAAACCTTTTTTCTGAGTTTGATAAAAGACCAAGAGCCTCTAGAATCATGTCTATTCTACATTTTTCATCTGAGGAGCTTCAGCAGGAATTATCTGGGTGTAAACACCCCAAAATTTATTTTTCCCATATGGCGCTCTTGGAGAAAGTCCAGTCTCAGCTTTTAATCACGGAGAAATGGTTAAGTGATGAAAAGCAGCAAACGTTACAAGCAGAGACTGAATTGGAAAAATACAACGACATAATTACCGTCCTGGAACAAGAACTGGACGTTTATCAAGACAACGCAGAGACCTGCAAGGTCACCCTGCAGGCTTTAGAGACCAAACTGAAGAAGAAAGCAACTGTGTGTGAAAATCTGCAAAATCTTTTAAAGCAGGAATCCCAGCTGAGACGTAGATTTGAACAGGGGAAGATAAACGACCAGATTAGGAACGAAGTTGATCAGAAACTAAGAGAAGAAATTAGTGAACTGAAAGAGCGTCTGGATTACTACCAGCTTAACGCTGAGACCTGCAAAACTACAATTCAGGCTTTGAAAATTAAGTTGGAGGAAAAACTAAATGTTTCTGAAAGTTTGCAAAACCAGTTAGGACTGGAGTCAGAGCTGAGACTGCAGCTGGAAGAGGAGAAACAGAATAAAGACTCGCTCACCGAGGCTTTACATGAACAAATCAGAGATTTAGAGATTATAAACGGTGTTCTGGTAGACGAGATGAAAAGTATCTTCTCTGAGACGAACGAGGCAGAGGAGACGCTTTCTGAGGAGGACGGAGAAAAGGCTTCTCTCTGCGGGGAATGTGAACCCAGTTCAGAGGACGAAACTCAGCTGGGACCCAGTCTCAGATTAGCTGAGCCAGTCCAGCAGGAGTCGTCTGGATGTCGGCATCCGACTTTCGATTCCCTTTTCCAGACAGTCGGCTCGGAACACCTACGGCTGTCTCGCCTGGACACAAGTCTCAGTGACCAAGCTGAAATAAGCTCAAAGCTAGAGAGCGAGTGCAAAAAATCCAGAACTCTGATTGATGAACTCAAACAGAAACTGGATTATTACCGAGGTGAGGCAGAGTCCTGCAACAAAATGATGCAGGAGGTAAACTTACAGCTGAAGGAGAAAGATGATCTGCTGGAAAACCTCCAAAAGCGACTCAGACGGGAATCTGAGCTGCTGAGATCCAAGTTTGATCAGCAGCAGAAAATCCAGCGGAACAAAGACAACGTTTATGAGAAATTAAAGGTAGAAATGAGTGAACTAGAAGAGGGACTGGATTACTACCAGAGTAATGCAGAGACCTTCAAAATTACAATTCAGACTCTCAAAACTCAGCTGGAGGAACGAGAACATCTGATTGAAGACCAGCAACAGCGTTTAAAACAGGAGTCAGAGCTGAAAGTCCGGCTGGGACAGGAGATTCAGAACAAGGACTCGTTCAACGAGGACTTAGAGACACAAATTAGAGATCTGGAGAAAATCAACCATGATCTCTCAGAACAACTGGAGACCTTTAACTCCCGGAAGAACACGCCTGAGCCAGACGAGAAGCTGTCTGAGGAGCTGGAAGCCTTCACGTACCAGCTGGTAGAGGAAGCTTCTCTGTGTGAACCTCAGGAACAAACTTCTGAGAGTCTGGAGCCTGACGAGGATTACGAGATGGGACATGATGTTTGCTCTCCACCTGCAGAACAGATAGATTCAGTGGAAGCAAGCGGAAGTCTTCATGAAAACGAGCCTTCTCCCAAAGACAGCGTTCCACAAACAGTCAGGAACCAGAATGTTTCATTGTGGAGGCGCTTCAAGAAGTTTCTCACTCCGGCGTGTCTACGGAAACATAAAGTTAGGCCTTAAATTAGCATCTGACCCCCAAAACACTCGGGCTTCATGATGACGTCACCAGTTTAAACCCCAGCTGTGACCTCACGAAAATTAGCATTAGCCTTCTCTAAATTTAGGCATTTTTGTGTGAGTGAGTGAGTGAGTGTGTGAGTGAGTGAATATCTAATCTTAGATGCAACACCCCTTTAGAGCACACAAGCACAGCAGAAAAAAAAGGGGCTTCCTGATGGAGAATTAGTTCCCCATCATGAATGCGTGGGTTTACTCCGGGCGCTCCGGTTCCCCCCACACACACGTAGGGTTAACTAGTGACCCTAACATGTCTCTGGGTGTGAGTGAGTGAGTAACTGATGCAGCTTTCTTTAACATAGAAACATGCTTGCTTAGTGTGGGGATTGCTGGAAAGCCTCTGACACAAAAAGTGGGTGACTCCATGCAATCTGCTGCGTTTCCTTAGGTAGAAAACCTTTAAATGACTGGAACAATGAGCTGAACTCAAAGCACTTTTGAATCAGTAGAATTTTTTTATTTTTTTTTCTGGAACTGCGCTGCTCTGGGTGGTTGCATGTTGGAGTAGCTCTGTTGACTTTATGTAAGTTTTGCCTTTTCTTGGACTTTTTTTCTTCTAGTTTCTCAAGAAAAACTTTAGTTTTTTTTGGACATTTTACTTTTCTGTTTCTGGTGCTGTGAAGCTTTGAGGATTTTTACTGCTATTTTTTCACTTTTTGAGCATTTGTTATGATGTTATGATGTGTAACCATGGCAACAAGCTGGTTTACAATCGGGAGCAGCTGATTAACATTGGGAAGGCTGAAATAATACCTCAACTGAAGCCACAAATCCCAAATGAGCTAAAACGCCCAAACCATCTCTTCCATCGATCATAATGGGCAATGTGAGATCACTGGCCAACAAGATGGATGAACTCCAAGCCCTTTCAAGGACTCAGCCAGAGTATCGGCAGTGCAGTGTTATGTGCTTCACTGAGACGTGGCTGCAGGACCATATCCCCGATTCCAGCGTCTCTCTGCCAGGATTCCTGACTGTACGAGCAGACAGAGATCTGAAGAGGAGCGGGAAAAGAAAAGGAGGTGGAGTGGCAGTGCTTGTCAACAACAGATGGTGCCATCCAGGTCATGTTTCAGCGAAATGTCGTCTCTGCAGCCCACGTGTTGAACTCTTGGCAGTAAGTTGTCGCCCATATTATTTGCCAAGAGACAGAAATACTCAGATGACTCTGCAGTTGTCGGGTGTATCAGAGATGGACAGGAAGCTGAGTACAGAGAGCTGGTGGAGCGCTTTGTGGCATGGTGTGGAAACAATCATCTGACCTTGAATGTGAACAAAACAAAGGAGATGATTTTAGACTTCAGAAGAAACAGGGTGGAGTCAAACACTGTTTCCATCATGGGAGAAGAAGTGGAGGTGGTTGAGGAATACAAACACCTTGGAGTTCACCTGGACAACAGACTGGACTGGAGAAAGAACAGCGAAGCCGTTTACAAGAAGGGACACAGCAGACTGCACTTCTTGAGGACGCTTAGGTCCTTCAATGTCTGTAGCAAGATGCTGCAGATCTTCTACAAGTCTGTTGTTGAGAGTGTAATCTCTTCAGCCATCGTCTGTTGGGTTAGCAGCATCAGAAGCAGGGACCTGAAAAGCAGTGGCGGCTGGCCAGTAGAGGGCGATAGGGCGCCGCCCTCCCAGTTTCCCCAGTGTTTTTAATTTTTATTTAAAAAAATAAATAAATAAAATTAACAATAATCACATATTGTAAGTTAATTGTGTGTTTTGTAACAAAAATAAATCATATATATATATCTATATTGGTCTCTGCCGCTCTCTGCCGGTCTCTGCCGAGGGGTGGAGGCTGTGTGCTGTTTTTCAATCGCCCAAACAAGACGGGACCAGTTGTCCAATTGCTGACAAGAAAATCAAAGGGTAGGAATGGGAATGTATCCAATCAGCGTCAACGTTGTTTCAGAAGCATGATGGGCGATAGAGCTACCGCCAAGGCTTTCGTTGGTGTTCGGTAGAACTCGGAGAGTCTCGACTCCAGCACGTTTTTGGTCGTGACTCGTAACGGTCGTGACGCAGACGTAGACATGGACGCCAGTGCGCCTACAACCAGCAGCATGGAGC